AAGCCCCTGTGTGATAGCAAGGTAGACGGCGAGGTATGAATCCACCGGCGTCCTGTTAATGTGGATTGACGCCGGTGGATTCATACCTCGCGCCCTATATCTGACAGCTGGGGGGAGGAGTTGCGGCCTGCCGCAACGTGATTGGCCGGCGGCGGGACTCCGCCCACCGGCTCCGTAGTGTGCGGTCGCTGGCGACACCTCACACCGGTGCCCGCAACTTCCCCACAAGGTCACCGCTGGCGCTCTGCCGCCCTGAGGCCGGGCCTCGGTGGCCTTGTGGGAAATCCGGGCCTGGAGGCCATATGTATGGAGTTCGTATGCTCTTCCTGTGTTCCATGTGAGCATTCTACCCAAGTTTTTTAACAATATATTGCTTAGGTAGTCGGCCTCCATGGAAACTGGCCCTAGTTTGGGGAGATTATGTGAATTGTCTAATTTTATAAACGATGAAGATATTACCAGCTCTATATAAATGCATAACATTTTTTTACCCAAGCTACAAAAGCAAGTGTGACCCATATTCATTCGGTGGTAATGCACTCTTATCAAACTGTTTTGGGATAAGGTCACACTGTACACCAAAATCTTAGGGTGAACTATACCACATAGCCCCCAGATTGATCCCAGGTTCCTTGAAGTCCGTTACAAAAAACCCCATCATACCCCGTCAATCCATGAATTGATTACAGAAATTCACTCAAAATCTTCTTTGCTCCTACTTTTTTTTTTTTCCACCTATGGATCATAGACCATTTGCAAATTATCATATTACCACCTCTTCCTACTAATTTACCCCACACCCTCTTACACCCACAATCATTCTGCACCATTAAAGTGACCTTTGTACCATTACTCTGTATGTGTTACCAATTATGTACACAATGACCAGTACCTGTGCCTCGGACACCTTATCAGTACAAATAAGAGTTTTACTGTATTAGCTCGTCCATCAGCCTCCCAGGCATTCTATATCTACCTAGATAGATATATATAATTACACCCCCTGGCAGTCCCCCCCCCGTGAGGGTCGAGACAACCCACTGCTGTCTTGGGTCGCCATCTGCAGTTCTGCTCATTTTCTGAAGCACACCTGTATTATTGCAAACCCTCCGTCTCCTGAGGAAGAATGAATGTGAAATGCATTGAGAATTGGGACCCTCGCTGAACTATATTGCAGCTATTTTGGATATTTGAGCTTGGAGCAGTGGCTACTTTACAACACACACAGAGAACATGGGGAACAAAAGTAACCCCTCTCCAGAAGGAAGAACAGTGTCGGCACCAATTCAGAGATGATTTGAGGATCTACAGCTGAGTGATACACAAATAAGATAAATTTTTGTTAATAGTTAAGGTACTTTAAATGTATTTTTAAGATTTAATTCCTGAGTTTAGTGTCACTTTAAATAAAGATTTGAAAAAGAATAAAAAAAGTAATAGTTGAGAGACCACGGTAACTTGTAAAGGAGGCTTTGGGGTATTGGTACTGCCAGGGACTGAGATAAGACACTAGGGGCTTCTAAAGATAAAAGTTGTAAGAATCAGAATATCTGCAAGTTTGGTGGTTATGTGAAAGAGGTGCAGAGTCTAAGGAGCACATACTATCAACCAGAGCTGTCTGCAAGTGGAGATGGGCTTTGCTGCATGGCAGCTCCCAGGTTGGCGCCTTCGAAACACACCTGTGCACGCAGTATATTGCAGAGACTATGCGATCACTGGGAAAGCGTGTATCATTAGCAAGAGTCAATTGTAGCGCAGGGGTTTGGGATGCCAAGGGAAGTAAGACAGTTGTAGCACTGAAGTACAGGGAACACTGGCTCACAGAGAACTGAGTTTGTCACAGCACTAAGGTTCAGGATTCCCTGGCTCACAGAGGAGAGAGACAGTTGCAGCATTGAGGTTGAGGACTTACTGGCTCACACAGAAGAAAGTCTGTTACAGCATTGAAATTCACAAAGCAGACTGATGAACAAAGGGGTTAGGTAAGCGTCTGGCACACAGTAGAAGGAATGTTGGCACTCAGAGTACACAGGTGCGATAATGCGGGCAGCTCAGACAAGTACACTGATGAAAGAGACTGTAGCTCTCCTGGAGTATGATGTGCACATGAATGCAGGAACGTAGGGAGTCTCATCGGGAGAGGTGGACGCAAGAAGTCTCTTAGAATAACCACAGGAAAACACTAACCGTGCAGAGGAGACACTGGAAACTGTAATGTAGGTAGAAACAGCGGGTCACCGGGATTCTCTGGAAGCTAGATGCAAGCTTCAGGAGACAAGGGGGGTCCAACAGCTAGTTTACTGACACATTGCTTGAATGCAGGTGCACTAGCCCTTTTGAGACAAAGGTTGAGAATGGATTGGCTGTAGGGCCTGCAGCCTACGATTGGCTGGAAGCCAATAGCTTTGTACAGAGGCAAAAAATCCAGCGTTGGATCAAGGTACAAATAAATGTGACAAAATTACTAAATATATTTTTACAAAGTTGTAATCCAGACCATTCAACACTGCGAAAATGCCGTTGCCATGCCAGACGCCAAAGGGGAATATATTTAATCCAAATAATTTGCCATGTACCACTAAAGGTTATGGTTTTTTTCCCTGTAAAGGACAGCCTAATCTAAACAACATGATTACACACTCTCTCTTTAAAATATTGATTTAAAATTTAGTTTTTGGGAATTTTTGAGGCGTACACCTGGTAATACAATCGGCATAACCCTTCAGTGACTAGGTTTATGCGAGAAGTAGGTTTTGCAAGAATTTGCTTCCATTAGGAATTTGCCAGAATACTGTAATAAGAGAAAAATAAATAGATTTTAGTTTAGCGAAAATAAAGTGGCTGCATTGTAGCAGAAATAAAGGTATTTGTGTCCTGTGGCGGTTTGAAAAAATAAACACATACATTCTTGAAATTCTCTTTAGATATGTATCTTGGATTGAATGCTTTTTTAAGATTCTGGTACATTTTGAACATTTGACATTGCGTTCAATCAAATTTTAAATCATCAAATGGCGAATATATACAAACCCGTTGGGCCAGATTAACAAAGGTTGGCGGTTTATAAAATAAATGTCAATTATTTTGGAACATCACATGTCAAACTATTATGTTACAGCACCGTTTTTTTGGTGTATAGTAGAATGAAAACTTGTTTTGCAAACTATTATTTATTTGGTGCAGATTGTGAGACTTTTTGTCCGAAAAAGTCCCACTTGAGAGTCTTTTTCATTTTTTGCACTCCAAAAAAACAAAACGGGTTCCTGTGCATCAAATATTTGGCACACCGACAATTACGTTATCTGGTCCTTTGGGTGATCTTTCAGCTGCTGTTATCAATGTTCATTTTAGATTTTGTTTTTTATTGCTGCCATGCAAAGAATAGGGATTGTATAAGTACCAATCAAACATGTAAAGCTGCCCATACACCTTACAACCATCACACGACTTTAGTTGTGCGATGGTTGTAAGGTGATTAAAACTTCGTACAACCTGCCCATCTTGGACGGGCAGATCATACTTGCGATCATCGCAAGCCCTCCCCGCTGAGGGGAGGGATTGCCGATGATTGCAATGCTGAGCTGGCAGTGTGCGCTTGCCCACGCTGCTTTCGTCTTGCGATCACGCTACCAACCCACCTAAAATCGTCCGATTTTCGTCGGGTTTTCTAGCGTGCTCGTAAGCTGAAAGTCGTGTGACCGTACAGTAAATGCGGTCGCACACTGCCCATACACCTGCCGATTATCGTACGATCGCTGGATCAGCCGCGATTATCGTACGATAATTGTCAGCTGTATGTGCACCTTAAGAGTCTGAAAAGTTTGGATGGCATAGTTTGGCACATCTCCTGATATAAATGACTGGCAATAAATAAAATGTGTGCCTTTGCTCACTCTAGTTTTATTTCCTGGAACCTGTTGAGATCTGACTCCGTTAGTAAAAGAAGGTATCATTTTTTTTTTTAAGATAAATGCAACTTGCCATACCGGTTTTGCAAAATATAATTGGGGAATGTAAGCTTTATTAAAGATGTTTGTTTTAATTAGTTGTGTTTTCTTTGTGCCTGTTTTGTTAACGTCAACGTTCATTTCTCATTTTCATAGGACATGCCAGTGACGAGAATGGGGATGAGCAGATTAGAAACTGCAATGAAAGAGTTCGAATGGAAAGAATGGACAGGGAACATGCAGCATTGCTTCGGTAAGCATGCAAGCCTGGTTATTGACATCACACCAAACTGTGAAGGGTGGGGAGACATCATACTGTTCCCTTTTCACATCGCAGTACCACCAGGACTCACCACAGTTTCCTCCCCAAATGTGCTGACATTCAGAATATCTCTAGTTTTATTGAAAAAAGGGAAAATTATCCTTTAGACATAAAGCAAATATACATCATATTGATGTGTTTGAGGGGAATTTATCAAAACTGGAGCAGACAGAATTTGGAGCAGTTTCCCAGGGCAAACAATCGGCTTCTCTCTTCAGTTAAGATTTGAAAATGAAAGAGAAGCTGATTGGTTGCCATGCACAGCTGCTCCAGATTCCCTCATTGTATGTTAATGTATGCTTCTGACATTTGAAAGCGATTGTCACCCTCTGGTCCCTATATAGTCCAGTAGTTCCCAGTTGTTGCAAGTGATACTCTAATCAGTTGCATTACTGTGGAACACTGTGTGATCCGTTTCCTTTTTTTCCCTCTAGTTTGCTACAACGCTGTTATTTCAGAAAACTTAATTTCTGCACATGTAATTTGCATGCCTGCTCTGAGTAATTATGCATGTTTATCAATGTTAAAGGAATCCTCACTATTCCCTTTACGATCCCATTTAACAGTACCTGTGCATAGATACTTTTGTAAGCTCTGTATTGCACCCTTTCTCATGTCGCAACTTTCTTGTGATCACTAGATCGTATTATTGAATCTCTGTGTAAAAATTAATTGTACGTTAATTGGCAGACCGTTCACTGTCATTGCGTAGCACAGGGAATTGTCCGTCATTTTAGTTTACCAAATTTATACAAGCATTCTGCGTAACTGACTTCTTAATCTCTGTGCAGTCATCGACTTTTACCTTATAAGTTGCTATATTGGGACTGCTAAAGGCTTATGACAGAGAAGAGGGTGCAATTAAGAGCTTACAAAAGCCTCTATGTACAGGTACCATTAGATGAGAGAGAACAGTAGCAGGGTTACATTAAAAAGATTGCTGATGCCATATCTGTTGTAATCTCTTGCAGAGAAAACAAAGATCTTCCAGACATTTCCCAAATGCATCCAGCGGGATGTGCAGCTATTGGTCTGAGCTCTAATCTGATGGTAACGGGAGGTCCAGCACTTTCAGGGCCTTGGACTTCTTCTGATTCTACCTCACACTTGACAGCTCATCCATGGCTTTCCAGTGGAATCTTGCCTTGTATGTGGCATGCTGACAACCCCTATGGTAAGTTATTACTGAAAGCTGTTCAATTCTAAGAAATAACATTTCCCTACTTTTGCCATTATTGGTTGTGTCTGTAAGTGCCAAAAATAGCGTTAATTTGTGGGGAGTGAAAACATTTTGTTAAAGTTTTATCAGCAATGTGTACAAGGACAGTATAGTTCTTAAAAGCCTGCAAACACAGATATTGTTAATAGCTAAAGTATTAAGAAATGTGAAGCTTTTCTTTTTTAAGCATTCAAAGTGGGCAGTGCTTTTGTTTTTTTTATTCTTTAAGTGTTTTTTGAAAAACATTTTTAATGGCGTGGAACAAACACCGAGGAGGGATGAACAATTCAAACTTCCAGAAGAATCCAAATGTTGAAATGTATACAGATACACAGAGACAAAGAAGCCTCAAAAGACCATAGCATTTGATGACTATAAGCATTTGTATGGAGGTGAAATAACAATATCTGAGTTGTACTTTCATTTTCAATCCTTTGGAAAGGGGGCAAGCAATGTAAGGCCTTAGCTAGAAAGTAGTAGGGAGAAGGAAGACTAAAGTGTAAGGGGAGAATTTTTTTCTTCTTTCCGACATTTATGCATGTGCAAGGGCCTGACGGCGTTCAGCAAGTATATGCCACCCAGCAGAACCATGCCTTACAAAACTGATCCTCACTTAGAAAATTATAATTTTTTGTGCGCTGATACTGATTTTAGTGTGTTTTATCAATTGAATTGTGTATTTTTATCGGTTTAATATTAATTTGAGAAACATTTGCGCAATTATCGCAGGGCCTACAAATTTAGTATCACCATCTTTTTATTCTACCGGGCCTGCGCTTTCAGAAAATATATGGTTTGGGGGGTCTTTTACAAACGCTAGCAACGCAGCAGTTGAAAATCAAATCAATAGGAAAAAATTGCAGAAAATTAAAAAATGGCTTGGCCAGCTGATTTGAAAAATGTTCCGGAGGGCTTGGCAGCGAAAGGGTTAAAGGAGGCAGCTAAGCCATCGTTTTAATTTCTTAGAGTTTTGCTACCCACCTCCCTACAGTAGGCAGGTTTGGGGATTTCCAGTGCAGAGGAATAGATTTCTCTGGCAGGATTAAAAGGCAAATGAATGAGTAATGAATGATAGTATCTTTTTTTATGTGGGATCGAGGTCAGATGGAAAAAAAATGGGGCGGACATATGACGTGCATCCTAAAATTCTCAACCAGACCCTTGATCCAAGCACAGGCCTGATAGGGCAGGAAGGGGGGAGGGAAGCACCTTGTCCCTGTGCTGATGGGGATAAGGGCCTCTTCCCCACAAGCCCTGGGATGTTGGTTGTGGGGGTGCGGGCATGTTTATGGATGCCCCCCAAAGTTCACTGTTGGGCCCCTTACTGTTTTAATCTTTTTATAAATGATAGAGTTGGGGATGTAAAGTAGTATTTCTGTGTTTGCAGATGACACAAAGTTATATAGTGAAATACAGTCCTTAAAGGAGTCTCCAACTTACAAGCAGATCTGAATGCATTGTGTCATTGGACATCTATTTGGCAAATGAGGTTTAATGTTGATCAATGTAAAGTTATGCACTTGGGGACTAAAAACATGCATGCCTCATACACTCTAGGGAGAGTATGTTTGGGGGAGTAAATGATGGAGAAAGATCTGGGTGTTCTGGTAGATCATAGACTGAACAATAGCATGCAATGCCAAGCTGCAGTTTCTAAAGCAAGCAAAATACTTTCTTGTATTATACGGGGTCTAGACTCCAGAGATAGAGACATCACCCTGCCCCTGTACAAAGCATTAGTAAGACCTCATCTGAAATAGGCAGTTCAGTTTTGGGCACCAGTTCACACAAAGGATGTTGTGGAACTGGAGAAAGTGGCAACTAAACTCATAACAGGCATGGAGGAGCTCAGCTATGAGGAAAGATTAGCTGACCTGAATTTGTTCTCTCACTGGTCCTTTATAGTGAGCTTGGTGACAAATTATTCACTTTAAGGTCACTGCAAAGGACAAGGGAGCACTCTGCATCTAGACCAAAAGAGGTTTAACTTTTACTTACGGAAAGGATTCTTCACAGTTAGAGCTTTGAATGTGGAATAGACTCCCCCAGGAACTAGTTCTAGCTAGCTCAGTTAATTGTTTAAAAAAAAATCTGGATGTATTCCTAAATGCACAGGATATTACTGGATATTGAGTTCTTATAGATATTTTAAGTACCAGCGATTGTTGATCCAGGGAATATTGGATTGCCTTATGGGATCAGGAAGGCATTTTTTCCCCCCTGTTGGAGCAAATTGAACTATGCCTAATAGGTTTTTTCGTTTGCCTTCCTCTGGATCAACAGTGGGTTCTGTTTTTTTAGGTTTTTTTCTTTTTCCCCCCTCTTATTTCTATAGTTTGACTAACTACAGTATGTAACTATGTAAGATCAGGCCTTTTGGATCCTGTGATTTGAAAACATCAATAAGAGGGTATTTGGAAATGCAGAGTTGGGTAGTGCCAAATTGTGCATTAAAGGCATGCTGATATTGGAGGAATCTATAAAAAGATACTCTAGGCACTTCAAATCGATGTTGTAGTTGGTCAAATGAACAGAGATTATCACCCGAGAGTACATCGGATAAAACATTTATATTCTTCCTCTGCCAGTAGATAACATTCACTATCTTACAAAGTTCGGGAAACATCATATTATTCCAGATAGTGAGCTCATTTGGGGTATCCTGTATATACTAATACTTTCTTAACTGTCTGCCACACACTCCTAGCCAGAACAAGAATTGGAAGGCATATCCTCCGTAACAATTTTGATGGCGATTCTAAACAAATTAAGAGTTGAGGAACCATAGTAATAAAAGTCAGGTGAGCATCAGCAGTAGATGAAAGCTTGGAGATCCTGGAGCGCCATACCCTTCTCCATTTTAGGTCTCTGTAAAGTGGATAATTTCTACTTCTGTCTGGTTTTATGCCAAATAAAGAATGAAAACCGTGAATCCACCACTTTGAATAGGGACCCAGGAACCATGACGGGAATATGAGATATGTATAAACATTTAAGCAATAAAATCATTTTAATAAGGTTTACCCTGCCAGCTACTGACCAAGTTTAGCCTATATGGACAATGTATTTTTTTAAAAAAAATAATATAAATATATTTATATTATTTATATAATTTGTGTTATTTATATAAATAACACACATGTTTGTACTAAATATGTATATGCCTTTTGTTTGCTTCCACGCTGTCAAAAAAATATTTTCTGTACTGTATGCCAGTATACACGAGTATACTTTTAGGTGTCCGTTTTTTTTATACCTAAATTCTTAGCCTTCTAACTATCTCTTCTTACTTTGTTTTCTCAATGGCAGATTTACAATAGGTCAGGTTGGCTAGCCATTCCTCCTGCACACTCATGGCCAGTTAAGCAGGCGGTGGGGTCAGCAATTTTCCTACCTGTGATGACCGGACATTTTCTTTTACAAACATCAGCTGGCCCAAGTGGCTGATTTTATTAGTATGTAGTATGTATTTCTAGGAAAGCACTAAATGACTAGCACTAAGGTGGTGGGGAGAGAGTGAGGAGGGAGGAGACTAAGGAAGGTGGTGTGGAACATATAGACGTATAATCAGTTTCTAATTTTCCAGATTGGGCAACGACCAATGTCGATTGGTATTTCAGGTCTAGTTAGCGCCTGATCTTACATTAGAGATTGACAAGGGTACCTGTTATTTTTGGTAAGATGTCATCAAAGTCGCACCTCCCTCTGGTTTCCGTCAAAATGGAGGCCACAGCGACCATCTCACCTGCTGATTTTAGAGATTGTTTGTTTTTTAAATAAATAAAATACCTGTTGGGTCTGCCAGGAATCTTGTCAACTTCCTGTGCTCTTTCTGTTGTAACTGTTATTAGTTACATTGTTTACAGCCATCTCTACTGGGCTACAGAACTCCTCCCTTCAATGCCATGGGGAAGAGTAGAGCGAGAGTTTATTGTAGTCTTGTCCTAGGGTGAAAGCACTTCTCCTTTATAGTGTGGTGAGTAAGTGCGGTCACCCTAGGACCGGAAGTGTGTTACTGGCAGGATCACCAGCTAAAACTAAGGGAAAAAAACCAAAGCAATACAACTGCTACAATATATTAATTTTTTTGTTTTTGGGATTTGATAAATTCTAGAAGTACTTTCTAAGTGACCGACATGGATTGAGCAAATCTAACCTCACAAGAATGGAGTCAGAATGGATCTACATTCCATGTCAGTGACCTTAGAATGCTTTGAAGCCACAGAATCGGCAGCCAAGCAAACAAGCATTTTGAGAAGGAGAGGTTGGCAATGTGAGCCTGCATATTTACTCTCTACAGTATTACTTTAAGAATCCTCACTTTCTTTAAAAAAAAAAGAATCCTCACTTACTTTAGCAAGGCTCAGTAACATTGGAGGACAGACTCAGGCTTACTTTTTTGACCTACCTTTTAAGCTTTACAACTCGGGCTCCACTGTCTGCTCGTCACAGACGAGTGGATTTTTCGAGCCCTGACTATATCTATCATGATACAGTTAATGCAACGTTTCGGGGTCTCACAGGATCCCCTTCTTCATCAGGCAAAACACGAGTTTGCTCATCACTTGTTTTGCCTAAAGGGAATCCTGTGAGAATCCGAAACGTTGCATTAAGTGTATCATGCTATGCTGCATATACGTCAACAAATAGACGTGTTTGATTTGCTATTGGAGTGCCGGTGTCTATATTTCTACTTGTGATTGTGATGGATGCCATCCATTGACAGCCGCAGCACCCATTCTATTACTTTGGAAACAGCGTTTTTTGTCTTTTTGCTTACCAGGTTTGGCCCACCCTACTCTTCATCAAGGAATAAATCCAGCAGTTCCTCCTGGGGTGCCTGCATCTTTTCCTTCTGCTTACAGCTTTGCAAGAGATCCACAGAACGGACAGATTGTGGTGATTCCTGCTGAACATTTATCAAATTTTGGTAAGCACCCATAAACAAGTATATCTACCTTTTTCTACTTCTATTTTTAACTGTGTTTCTAGGATCCCCTACTTGTTCTCGTGTGTCTCAGCCAATAATAAAAGTCTGAAATTGGGGTATTTGCATTTGAGATGCCTATGCCTTATTTGCATAAGTTATCAGTGGTAATGATTTACTTGTTACCCTCCCTGACCATCTTCTTAAGACAAGTGTATAGTATCTGAGCTTCTTCCGGATAAAAAAAAAACAGGTGCACCCCCACCTTAGAAGACTTGTCTGTGGTGCCCTGTATGTCATAGTGAAGATAGGAGAGGGGCAGCAAGGGATACTGTTAGTTCTGTACAGTTTGCTGGAATTCTATGTGTGTGTGTGTAATTGCGTCTGCTCTAATGATCATGGGGAAGAACAAAATGATGTCCTCCTTCCTGTGATAGAGGACCAAACTCTATAATATGGACCATGTCTGCTACCTTTTGTGTTTGAGAGATTTTCACTATATGCTGAATTTATGGGGTCAACTGTTCAAACCTACTAGCTGTGCAGCAATCCTTTTCATGCTTTGCTTGCTAAATCTGTATTTTTGGCAATATCATTTTTTCTAACGTAATTTTGCTGCATGAAAGATCCTAGAAAAGTTGCCAAGTTGGTATGTAGGGAGCTCTTTCAGATCACTGTGCAAGGTGATTGTTTTCAGAAAATAAATTCGAGGAGGATGCAGTGGAGCATTGTAGTCATGGCAGATTCTGGGGGCACCAATTAGCAGTGGAGACCGTGGGAGTCACTAAAGAGGAACAAATAAAGGTGATAGCATTAGAAATATAATTTTGTGTTGCACATTCCTGTTTTACTTTATTTAATCTGCAAGTGATTGGGTATTGAAAGAGAATTTGCTCTTCACTTGATTGGATAATTGAAATGTTTATACAATGTTGTGTGATATAAAGCAATTACTAGCAGACATTTTGACAGCTAGTAATTGCCAGTAATAGCAGCAGGGGGGGAGGAGCTGGACATTAGAAATACATCCTTAAAACTTTTTTTGTAGTGTTTTAGGACTTATCTCTAACGTTCTAAATCCTGAACTGAATGCTGGTTGAATCAAAGTAAGGAATTTCCTTCTTATCTATATGTAGTAGCATAACCGCTTCATGCACATGAACTGAGCAGTTAAATGGGAACAAGAAATAATGCCATCCTATCAACAGCCCTGATCCTTTCCTCCACAGATCCCTACCCCCCTCCCCAAATGCATAACCATTCGCCATATTGTGCTATAGCCTTGGCTCATGTATCTCTTGCTGCTATCTCAACTGACTTGACTTTCATTCTCTGCACAAAGGCAACAACATCTATCTTTTGTGATGGAAATTCAACTAGAGCTGCAGCTAACGATTATTTAGCCGATTTTTTAGTTCGATTAATCGGTTAATTGGATAAAAAATAAAATACATTTTAAAAAAAATGGCTCCAGTGATGGACTACTAGTTTGTATTGAGATTGCAGTCCATCACAGGAGCAAGCTTGGAGCGGTGGAAGTAAATAAGAAAAAAAAAATTGTGGTGTACAATATAGTGTAAAATGATATAGCAATGAATGCAGCATGGCACCGGCTATAGAGGACTACAAATCCCAGCAATTGTACATTATACAGCACAATACAGAATACCACCAGCTATAGAGGAATACAAATCCCAGCAATAGTACATTATACTATACACTACATATAACTGTACTGTTGCTGAGATTTGTTGTTTCCCTCTAGCTGGTGGTATTCTGCATTGCGCTGTATAAAGGAGTACAAATCCCAGCAATAGTACATTATACTATACACTACATATAACTGTACTGTTGCTGAGATTTGTTGTTTCCCTCTAGCTGGTGGTATTCTGCATTGCGCTGTATAATGTATTATTGCTGGGATTGGTAGTCCTTTATACAGCGCAATGCAGAATACCACCAGCTAGAGGGAAACAACAAATCTCAGCAACAGTACAGTTATATGTAGTGTATAGTATAATGTACTATTGCTGGGATTTGTATCCTCTGTATAATATAGAGCACAATGTACCATCAGCTATAGAGGAATACAAATCCCAGCAATATATTACAGAGCACAATGTGTGTGTGTGTGTGTGTGTGGGGGGGGGGTTGTGCAGGCTTACATGAGCAGTCTTCCAGCAACTTGCTTCTGAGATCGGGCTCGTCTATCGGCGATCGTCATCCCCCCACACCTGCTCCTCCTTACTTCTTCTCCCCGCTTCCCTGTGCCAATCGTGGATGTGGGAGGGCGGTGAGCGTGATGCGGGGAGGAGGTGCGGCATGTGGAGCGTGGATGTGAGCGGGTCTGGCAGCGGCGAGCGTGAGGTGGGGAGGAGGTGCAGCGTGTGAACAGGGCCAACTAACCAGAAGCCGTTTAATCGATGATTGAAAAAGTTGACAACTTTTTCAATCATCGATTATAATCGATTATGTCGATTAGTTGTTGCAGCCCTAGATTCAACTGAGGAATCAAGGTCTTCAATCCATTTAGCATTAGTAGGAGAGTTCCTGTTGCTTAGCAACCATTATGTGCTGGACACTAGAGAGCCAACTGTCCCTACGAAATCTGTCTCTACTAATAGAGGTCAACACTAATGAAGCAAATGTGTGTCCAGGCTTTGGACATGTGCATTCAGCAGACCTAAATCCAGTTAATGAAAATACACTACAGGTTGCAGCATACTGTAGATAGCCAGGCTGTCCAACCAGGGTGGGACTAACCATGTCAGCATGAACTTCAGGCCCTTCCATGGACCCCTAAAGCGGTGTTACAAGCTAGCTACAGGCACTGCACTTGTAATTCAGTACTAATCCCTCTCTTACCATTGTTCATTCCCTGCTCATAGGACCACACATGTACTTTTTGCTGGGCTTGAACAAACTGATAGCTAGGATGGAATTAAGAGCAATTACTTATTTTCTAAGCTTCTCAAGTGTACTGGATTACTAAATGCTTTTCTAACCAGTTATGGGTCTTTTATATTTTTAATAAGCTTCTAAACAGAAGCATCTTAGAAAAATATTCAAACATCTGTAGTTTAAATGATTTGCTCTTGATCTGATAAAAAAAATAAAAATGCTTCCTTTAAAAGTGGTCTTTGCAGTGATATTGGGAGATATGTGTTAGGAATTTTGTTACACCCCTGAACTTGCTTGTGCCAAAATGTGCCCACTTTAACTAGTATCAATAGGGCAGAGAGCAGTGGTAACACGCAAGGTAAAGTAATCCATGGAAACCAAACAGTGTTTAGCTTTCATCAGCTTAGGGAAGAAAATGATGCGATAAAAGGTGAATGGTTGCTTTGGGGTACTTTTTGCTTTTCATCTTTTTTTATTAAGCATTTTTGGCTGCATTCTAGCACCATTGACAGTTTTGTGTTCATTTTGTAACCACCTATTATTTTATTTTTTTTTCTTCAGCAGAAATATTGGACCGAACATCATCCCTCTGGCCTTCTATGTATTCTTCACCACATAGTTCACTGCAGCATGCACATCATCTACAGCTCTTTTCTCAACACCAGCTTATGCGACAACATGAACTATACATGCTGCTGCAACAGCAGGCAGTTCACTCTATAGATCTACACAGAAGTGCTCAGCTGGAAACTCTGGAATCACACAGAAATGAACAAGTAGATACTATAGAATTACAGAGAAATACGCAACTAGATATGCTAGAAATGCAGAGAAGTGCCCAAATTGAAATGAAAGCACTGCATAGGAGAAATCACCTTGAATCTCAACAGTACCATAGAAGTGAACATTGTATGGTAAGCCCGAAGTTTCTTTTGTAGTTTATTCTGTTAATAAATAAGGATAGGATACAGGTTTGAGGTCAACCCAGCCTGTTATGAAGATTCACAGAATTCATGTCTGCTGTAATGTAAACAGCTGAGAATCCCAGGTGATGACATCAACCATATTTTGGCAATGACGTCACCTAGGACCCTTGGCACTGTGTTCAAACAGTGGCAAGGATCTGTCATTTAGCAATGGAAGTGCTAAATGTTTACCGCAGTGAGGATAAGTATCAGCGAGAGTCAGGTCCTCGTGATTGACAAGGATCTCTGGATAGCGTTATTGATGATGGATTTACATGACTTTATTGTATTTCTTGACTTCTTCTGGGTGGGGTGTACATTTAGCTCTTGGTAATAATGAGTAATTAGCGGTGCAGATATCTGATGAAACCTCTTATTATAAAGGGTCTCCCAGAAGAATATATTATTGCTATTAGTGAGTAAGAGACCTTTGACCCAAATGGCAGATTCATCTTTAAGACAAAGACTTCTGTATTCATTTTAACGATGCTTAAGTTCTGTGGAACTGGGTTTTTAATGGGTATTATGTATTTTAGGGTAACTGTAGGCTGTTTTTGAAATAGGAATTTTTCTTTGTTTCCCCCTAGGAGCCAGCAAAAATAGCTGAGGAAAGAACTGTGGAGCACACATCAGTAGCCAGACATCCAAGCCCACTATGCAGCTCCGGGTCGGTGCAGAAGAAAGAAATTTCTCAGGCATCCTCGCCATCCTGTGTCAAAGCGTTTAATCTCTCACCCATTCCTCTCAAATCATTTCCATTGTCAAACAAACGTGAAGAAATGACACGGCAAAGGCATGATATCCACACATCTAAAAATCCTGATTTGCATCCTGTGGTGTCTGCTAATATTTTGCCAACCAAAGTGGAGGATAATGAAGAGTTGGCAAAAGATATGATTATAAAGCAGGACTCCTCTCCAAATGAAGGTTTGTTTTTACTTTTTCTTTTGGGTCTGCAATAATAAATTCACAGCTGCCTGCTAAATAAAAACAAAACACAGCTTTCTCAACCTTTTTTTACCCGATGAAGCTGCTTGGGCCGGTGAGTACACATCCCGGCAGGGAGAGAAACACTTTTTACCGGAAAGGTTTAATCTGCTCAATCAGCAGATTAAACCTTTCCCTGCGATCGTTTTTTTTTTTTTTTTCTGACATCAGGAGCCGCGGCCTGACAGTCAGTCAGAAAAAAAAAAGGCATACAATTGCATAGCTAGATTCCTATTGGCTATTACACTTTGCACAGCAATGAATAATCGCTAAAAAAAATTTCGATTAATCGAACAGGAAAATTTTAATCATTACCAGCCCTAAAAATGACCCATTATAGAATTGTCTTGACAAGTATAACAAATTAAGTCAAGGTATACACAGATAGATCCCGTCAGTCGGCAAAATCACTGGGCAGAGTTACTGTGTAAAACCCTGATGCCCATTCTGTGGGCCGGGGGCTGTATGCAGCCATTTGTCAATTTCTGTGTGGGCCTCAGGTTCCTGCAGACAGTGGTCTGTTTTCTTTCTCATCCATTAAGGGAGACATGAACTATTTCACCTTCAGGTTATACTGCCGCCTACAGGAGGATTGGACAATGATAAAGAAAAAAACTGTAGAGAAAGCCAAGATAACCCCTACTACCAGCATGTTTTAACAATTTTTGATCGTGAGAATGAAAATTCTAATTTCTTTCTTGTCCATTAAGGGACACTGCCCCTGGTGTGACCCTGTCTATGTAGCTCTGAAAGCTTACCTAGTGAGTAATGCCAGTCAGGCTGAAGCTTTGGGAGCTACATTATATTTGGTGCTGTTGGGTGCCATTTTTCATATTCCACCCCCCTTCACCATCTTCACTGCGATAAGAGTTAAAGTTGAGGGATTGAGCACTGATGTCATCTGCTAGGTGCAGTGCTCCATACTGTCGTTCTCTCTTCAGGCTAGAGGAAGCAACTGCAGTTCACTGTAATATACAGGGGATTGATACATTTCATATTACCCTGTATTTTAAAGGATCCACATGCTGTTACAAGCCTTGGATCTGTTAGAGCTCTTACAGGTGCTTTACTGCCAAACCTGTAATTTGAGGACTTCCTCTATGCGGACCAGAAACAACCCTGGATTGAGAAGGGATTCACTAATAGGTGGTCATTACCAAATGTGGATGCCCCAGTGATCCACTTGAAGGGTTGAAGTTATTCTTACCTTTTAAGGACTTCACTGATGGGAAGCTGAATTCCCTCCTTGGATCCTAGTTTGAGTTAACTGGCTTGACCCGCAGTCCTTTGTTGGTAGTAATTCTGTTAGAATGGCATAAAATACTTGTCGAGAATCATTCAACTGCGGAGGTAGGTCCCCATGTTTTGGAACAGCTGGAGCAGATGTCTGTAGCTTTATGCTTTAGCTGTTACCGTTTATGACAAGCCTCTGAATATGTGTCCTGCATAGATCTGCTGTCAGTACATGTATGAGCACTCTGGCTACATGCATGGGACACTATTGAGTTGTCCAAGGAACAGCTGATTTGTCTGCCCAACGGATGTCGGTGGCATTGCTATGTGCAGGAGATCTGCAGAAAGGTCAGAGGAGCCCTATCCCTCTACCCCTTCTGTCTTAGCAGTGTGTACTCACACATTCAGAGTCTAACACTCTCTCAGACCATAGGTATAGAAACCCAAGATCTGCTAACGCCTCTGGCAAGCCCAGAACATGTAGGTGCTTCCCCACCTTCAAAAGTGTGCATTTGGCCTCCTTGTTTTTTTGCTTTTTGGCCAGTTGTCAAACCTCCTGTTGGTGGCAATATAACCTGACTTTCAGATTTCCTATGTCCCTCAATGAATTTAAGAAAAAATAAATACATTTTACAGAAAGTACCAAAATCTTAGTATTTTCATTATTGAGGCTTCAACCTCCAAAATTAATGGGTGAGTAATGCATTTTTTTTTTAAACGCTTCTCAAGCTGGCCATTCACTTTTTATATTTTGAAATTTGAGCTGCTGTCGGCACCACTCTGCTTGACAAAAGATTCTATTTCTATAGACTTTTGTTAAAGGAGCTGGCCTAAACTTGTCGGCCGAATGTTTTGGTTTGCTATTTTACAAATGCTGTCACAGGAAAAGATCAGCGGACACATTAAATATGGTAGCAGTGTCTGAAAGCAAGGAGTTAAACATCAGAGTATGGTGCACATGGAGCAGGTCGTCAACTGGAGGTTTCTCAGTTGGTATATTTCCTCATATATGCAATTAATGACTCCTTTTAAAGCCACACTCCGGGCAAAATGAAAGTTTACACACGGCATTATGGGTGTGGGAGAGATGCGACCCAAGCTGTACAATGCTCTGGTCCCATCACCTGCCCCCCATCTCCATTCACAAAGAGTTTTTTTTTTTAAAGAATATAACACATTCTGTTATTGAATGAAGAGAGATGATTTCATATCCCTGTCCCCTCGTCTCCTCCTCCAATCACAAAATGTCTTCTATTCTTTAAAAGAAAAACCCGTCAACATTTTGTGAATGGATTATAGCGGGAGGGTAATGGGACCAGAGGCCTGTCTCATCTTACCCTCTCTTCAGTGCCCGGAAGTGTACTACACTACGGTGTACTACACTACGGTGTACTACAAGTTAAGATTTTTATACTTTGCAGGGGCCCTCTGCATATAACAAACGGCTGTTTAACGATGACATAGCCAGTGTGGTGTCTCAATGATAATTTTGCCCAGAGTGTGGCTTTAACCCCTTCGTGACAGGAGACGTACAGTGTACGTCCCGGCACTTTGTGCCTATATGACTGGCCACGTTCACTGTACGTGACGAGTTATATCAGGCTTTGTAATGCTGGTAACAGCTGATTCTCAATGGTTACCAGTCATTAATGAATGCCTCAGTATTGAGGCATTCATTAATGAAATAATTAAGCTTTTTGTAAAAGCTTCTTCCTTTCAATAATGAAAGAATGAAGCCGTTACATGCAAAAACAGGACCGCAATTTGCAATCCTGTATTTGACAGCTGAAAATAGCAGAGAGGTAGCAGTGACTCACCTCTCTGCTATTTGTTTTGACAGCTCGAGAGCCCGATGTTTAGATACATTTCACTCAAAAGATACAATGTATATCTTTTGAGTGAAATGTATCAGTTCTGATCGTCTAGGCACGATCAAAAAGCTTTTAGTGAGATCTGAATCTGACTAAAGTCAGGATCAGTCTCTAAGGTTATTATTAGCTGTTCCTAAGTTTGGAGCAGCCTAATAGCCAAAAATGTAAAAAAAAAGTTAATTTATCAAGAGGTCATAGTGACTGCTTGATATAAACTGAGAAGAATTTTTTTTTACAAAGTGTAAAAAAATTAAATAAAGTGTAAAACAAAATTAGGAAAATAAAAATTATATATAAATAATATATAATAAATTATAAATATATAATTAATATAAAACAATTCTAAAAAAAATAATAATCAGTGTTTTTCTTCTAGTTTTTTTCCTCATTTTTTTATTTTATTCAAACTAAGTAAGGGGTTAGGTACACATATGTGATATAATTATATAGCCCTATCTGTCCTCTAAAAAACAATATATAATATGTGTGGGTACATTTAGTAAGAAAGTATATTACTGCTGTGGAAGAATCACACAGCAAAAATTTAAAAAGTGTGTCAGTCATTTATGAACAGAAACTGAAAACTAGCTCAGTCATGAAGGGGTTAAGTAAGCGCTAATAACTACTTTTATTAAACCCTGATTTTCCAGTACTAGATGGATGTTGCTGCTACGTATGTGATTTACATTTTGCTTTTTTAATGTTTATTGCTCTAAAACTCGTGTGAATATTTGTGACCGCATGAGTGAGGGTCAGTGTTTAAGAAGTATAAATTTTATGTTTCAGATACCACCCAAGGATTTCCATTCCAGTCTCTTTCACCTTCCGTGCGACCTCTGTCTTATATAACCTATTCACATGAGGTTTCGGATGAAGAGAGTTTTGTGCCAATTGTCAAACCACCTGAATTAAGCACAGAGAGCTCTGAACTCTATTTGAATTCAAGGTCTCATATTATAAAGGATTTCGAGACAAGTGAAAAAATGGACAACACAATTAAAGTAGAAAATGTATCTACTATTAGATGCCGAGAAAGTCTCCAAGATGAAAGTGAATCTTTCTCAGAGCCTGTAGAATGTCAGAAAGGTCTTGTACAAGAAATTAAAACTATGGATATGGAAGAAGACCATATATCTAGTGTGGAAAACATAACCTCTTGCATTTCTGAGACAAATCTGAACACTGGAAAAGAGACTTGTTCAACTCAAACTGACTTTACTGACACATTAAACCAAGATGAAAATTGTAAAATTAATATGATCATCATACCACAAGGTGTTTTACCGCCTCACTCAACAATTGAGTTGATGGATAACAACAGTATGGGTATTGGTAAAGAATATACAGAAGAAGACACAGATGAAATGTTCAGTTACAGAAGTGAAAATGTGTCTGGTGAACCTAATGACATAAGCTCTGCAGATGTCAAAACTGGAGATCCATTGGCTGGTATAAATGTTCTACTTGCAGCAACAGAAATGCCTGAGGCCAGCTCTCTGCTCCCTACAAGCACCGTAATACTGACTCCTGACCTGACTTTAGACCGTACTTTATTGCATGGCATTATGCTACTGAGTGAAATGGCTGAACTTGAACTTGAAAAAAGAAAACAAGTGGACAGTACGTTTTCCTTTCTGAGCTATCTAATTTGTTTTGTTATTGTTTTTCTCAACAACACTTGAAACTATGCTCCAGATAACTGTAAGCCCTCATTCACACGAGAAACGGCCGGCCCATACAGTTCTGTGCTGCGTGCATGGCCGTATCGGGCAGCTCCCGGGAAGGACAGGTGCTGTGTGTGATTTTGTACGCAGCAGCCTGTCCTTCTCTATGGGAGTACGCCGCCCTACGCTCACCCTACGTGCACGTCTGTACAAGTGCGGGTGTCCTGGCTCGGACGCAGACAGGATCCATCTTGTCAGCGTACGAGTACGGACACCCACATGGAGCCAATTAGGTGTCTTGCAGTGCAAGGAGAATGCTAAAAGGATGTGAGAGCAGATTGAAAAAGAGAAGAGCTCATCATTGTGCTGTTTCTCCTTTTCACTGTCCTGTCACTTAAAATTAAATTGGAGCTTAGTTTTAAAGTGCATCTGTGCCCAAAATATGAAAAACAGTACAATATCTCTTAATAAGCAGTAAAAGATCTTTAAAACAAGCCATTGCTCACCTCTGTAGCTGCACGTAGTGCTAAGGAATTGATCCTCAAACAGTTTCTGAAGTGGGGTCTCAGTGAATGTCTAAGGTTGGATTAACACTATTGCATTGTGGTAACACGCAGGAACACGTGTTATACTCTTCAACCTTCCAAACACACCTGAATTGCTGCAAACAGAAATACACACACTTTTTTTTTTTTTTTGATGTAGGGGAAAGCTTTAATCTCGGTCAGCTTTTGCTTGCTTGCTTTTTTGTTGTCTCTTCTTTCCTTTTTTGAGATTTTTCCCCTCGCCTCCTGTCTGGTGAAGTGGTGTTTCCTGTACAGAAAGTGAAGGAAAATCTCTGACCCCACAGATAGCAGTAAAATCTACGATGGGTTCTAACTAGAGGTGGACCGAAAATATGGGGAAATATTAGGGGTCTAAACAGACCCCTGACATTTCCCTTTTAAAAAAAAATTATAGATTGAGGACTTTTGTGTCCTCAATCTATTTTTCTGCAGACCCTGTAATGAATGAACCTGAATCCTCTGAGTGTTCATTCATAACTTGAGAACATTGTGTGTTTACTATAACTACAACTATGAATGAACAGGAGGGGATATAGATCACTTCCCATTCATTCATAATTGAGGATATAGTAACCATACCATGTCCTCAATTATCTACAAACACTCAGAGATCACTGATTGTTGAGTGTTTGTACCTTGCTCTCCTCTCTGACACGCTGTCACAGGAGGCTGAGCGGGAGGTGCAGGGATTAGAGCTCAGCCCTCTGACAGTGTGGGCTGTCTCCGCCCACACACTGCACTGCCGGACTGTGATAGGAGGCTGAGTGGTGTGGGAGGAGAGACGCCGGCCGCTCACAACGCTCTCCTCCCGCAGCAGGGAAACCAGGGATGCGCTGCTGTATCGGCAGAAAAATGGCACTTTCGGCATTTAGCTAAAAGTGCCATTTACGGCCGATATGTTTCGGAGGCCGATATATCGGTGCATCCCTTGTTCTAACCCTGTCCCAGTCTATCCAAAACTGAAAAAAGCATGTATGTATAGATACATAGAAGTTACGCAAACGTTGCTTTCTTTCCCTAGCATCTAATCTGTTTTAAAACCCAGCTCCCTCCCAAAACTTTTTTTCTTTTTTGGATAAAGTGGGGAAGGGTTAGAACTTGAGTTAGGTTTATATTTCAATCTGGCCCTCCATTAGCGATATGTAACCTTAGTTGCTGTCTCTTGGTGACCCCACATGAACACATGAGACACCCCACAGGAACAGATGAGATTCCACTTAACAGAGACATAGTCGGCAATAAAAAATACTGAAGGCTAACTGAAGGAGGGTGTATGTCACTGGGGCTGGTTAACGCTGCAGTTAACCCTTTTTACAGACACACACAGACACACTAGCTGCCACCACTTGTTTTAACAGAAACGCACAGCTATTACCATTGCAATTTTAGCTTTTGAAGGACATTTCTGTATCCCTCAGTACCACGCCTAGACAGTAATGGAACTGATTACAGTATAGCAGTTTTCTTCAAAGAGATTTTTAAATGAGCATTCAGATATTCAGTTTAATGATTTAAAATATCTTAATGAAAAGAAAAATGGAACATGAACATTTTTTACAGAAAAGATATAAAAAAACAGATTGAAGCAGCAGTGAAAAGTACTGGTTTCAATAGAGAGTAGAGCTGCAGATGCAGCTGTCTTTTCTGGTCCCTGCAGAGGGAATTTACAGAATTAGGACAACCAGTCGAAGGTTCTGATGGGTGTACTTAAATGTTGAAGTGTTTTATCATGTTCCAGTGGACACTCCCTCAATGTCCACTTTTTCTAGCGATATCAATCATTTCAGATGACAATGTTTCACAATCCAACAACCATCATATTAACCCCTTCACCTTTTGGAGCATTATTTTCTACTTTTCACACGTTAAAAAATCTGCATTTTGTTTTTGCAAAATTATTTAAAATTCCCTAAAAAGTATTTATTTTCTGAAAGTAGAAGCACTATAGAATAAAAAGATGGTAATTGTACATTTTTATGTCACACAATATTTGTGAAAACATTTTAAATCTTTATTTTAAGCACTAAAATGAATTTTAGCGTACACAAACACAATTTAATGAGGGGAAGTTAATCGGCACAGTGGCTATTCCAGGGCCCAGATAATCACTGTAAAGCAGTGTAGTAGCTGCTGCTACTTTAGTGTTTTACAGAATCCCCTTAGCCTTACTTGGGATAATTTACATTTTTCCAAGCTGGACTAATGTAAGTATTAACCTCTTGCCGTCCGCCCGTAGTAAAAAAACGGACGGACGGCACTGCAGCATCTGCGGGTTGCCGTCTCCAGACGGCAATTTTTTTCTGCTCGCGCGCGCCCCCTAGCGGGCACGCACGGGCAGAAAAGACCCGCTAAATGCACACACCCGTTACCGTGTGTTTCACATATAGGCGATCGGAGGGTCCATAGCCCGCCGATCGCCTATATGTGCTCGTTCGCGGCACAACTCTGCTTTATCAGCTTCTTTTGGGGTCCATAGGTGATATTAGGGGTCCTAGAGACCCCTAATATCTCCATAAAGAGGACCTGTCAGTGTGCCTTTGCTATTATATAGGGGGTTGTTATCCCCCTATATAATAGCAATAACAATAAGTGCAAAAAAAAAAATATAAATAAAAAAAAAGAAAAGTAACACATAAAAAAATAAAATAAAAGCCACATATAAAAAAAGGGGAAAAAACCCCCCCAAAATGTTTAACTCCCCCACCCCCACGTTTACGCGCCTATAAACGTAAATACGCGTCCGGTGCCCCAGCGCGCAAAAATTACAATTGCGCTACACATGTTACATATCGCCGCGAACGTCGCAGTGAGAGCAATCATTTTAGGGCCATCAATCACTGATAACACTAAACTGATGAGCGGTAACAGCTTTTAAAGCGTCGCCTAGGGCCAATTTTTGGTATTATCGTTTTTTGAGGTTTCGCGCGCGCACGCAATTTTAAGGCTTGACATGTTTAGTGTCTTTTTACCCGACGTGACCCCATCTTTTATATTTTACCAAAAAATTGGGTAATAATAAATGTTTTATCATTTAATATAGGGGAAACTGTTTTTTTTTTTTAAATTTCGGTAATTTTTCCTTAATATAGTAAAAAAATAAAACCCCCAGTGGTGAATAAATACCACCAAAAGAAAGCTCTATCTGTCCCCAAAAAAGGGTATAAAATTCATTTCAGTACAGCGCTGCATGACGGAATAAATGTCAGTTAAAGTACCGCAGCGCTGAATACTGAAAAATGGCCTGGATGGGAAGGGGGTTTAACACCGCGGATGTCAACTGGTTAATACCTTTCTATTCTGGAGTTCAGCTTCAACTGTGAAGTGTCACAGCCTCTATTGCCAACGGAGTTAGGAATGGGTTAAAAAAGGGGATTTCTATTTTTCTCTGAAACGCTTTAACTAGCCATGTGAGCATTTGAGCTAATAAATTTGTCCCCAGAAAATGCTAAACAATCTGGTTGCTTATATATTTTATTTCTTATTTGTCAGGCCTGCAAAGTTACCATGCAAGACCATCCCTTGAAAGTCTTTTGGCTGCTAGTACCCAAATGTTGATGGAGGTCCTTTCTTCCCCAGCCCTGGATGGATTGAAACCTGAATCTATCAAATTACCCCGAGAACTATCTCATAATAAAAAGTATAGTTGGAAGCATGAAAAAAATAATCCAGTGAGTAAGGGGCATCTTTCAGATACAAGCAATCTTTGAATATTTATATGGGCTGTTGTTTTGTTTTTTTCTGAATGACACATTTTTCCTTTTGTCTATTAACACAGAAAATCATAACAATATGGATAGGATATAAAGTATAAAAAAAATAATTAAAATAATTAAATAGTTTGTCTGGCTATGTGCAGTAAAAAACAAACAAAAAAAACCTGGTCTCCCATTTCTTGTTAACTTGTTGAATGTTTAATACAATAAATGTGCAGTAGTCCAACACTTCTTGAGTAGTTTATTATTGTCTGTAATTCCATATTAACAGAGAGGATGGGATTGGAAAACTAAATCTAGTAAAAATAGTAGCACTGAATTTTTTTTCTGTTTGATCAGCTACAGTAGAAATTCATTAAACTGTATATACAAATAAAAGGAAGGTCAGATGAAAAATCTTTTGGTTCCATTTATGATCTTAAAGCAGATCTAGCATCTAATAAAAATGAATATGTGAAATGATAATCTCTAACAGCCAGTTTTTTTATTTTATTTATTATGCAGCATTTTTCCCTCACATCTGCTATTGAGGTCATGGACTCGGTAGAACTGGACTGTAGGGTAAGGCTTGCAGAGTTACAAAGGCAATACAAAGAAAAGCAAAGGGAATTGGCAAAGCTGCAGAGAAGGGGAGACTCAGAGTAAGTATTCCAGTGTTGGATAAAAATGTGTGTTTTGAGGCAGCTGCTACAGGTGGCTAAATCTGTTCTTTTTTATTTTATATTTTTTTTAGGCTTTTTTTCCCCTTTTATTATTTACCTGGTGATCTGGCCAGCACACTTATTGTCTTGGGGTCACCATACATTTTACAATCTGACCATACAATCTCTGTATGATGAACTTTAGATCTACCTTAACTATCTAATATGATGATGACCTACCTAATCTATTCAATCAATCTGTATCCAGTCAGACGGGCCCTTATACTACATAGTGGTTGGTAGATCTATAGGAGATTGTACAATCAGATTGTATTACTTATCGCAAGCTTTAAGATGATTCCACTCCTATGTAGGAGCAACAGAGCCACTCTTGGACAGCAGCATTGTCAACCTGTAGAGAGGGTAGTGTTAGCCACACTAGCAGATTTAGACAGACTTGGCTAACAAATAAATTCAAACTGCAGCTAACATATTTATTAAGCAGTTACAGCAACAGTTTTTTTTTCTTTTTTGGGATAAAGGTTTTACATAAATGAATAAAAGCTGACCATTGTAGGCACCTGTCAGAGTTAAATGGTTTGCTTCAGCCTTTATCTGACACTTTTGCTTAACAGCTTGGTCTATTAAAGGAAGTTGAAAAATAACAGACTGGCTATGGTGAAAAAAGGCATAAAAAAGAAAGTCAATGCAGCCACCATTATTTAAGGATTGGTAAGCTGCAACATATTTTTTTGCTTTTGAAATTAGATACGCTTTATTGGCAAATCTGACCAGTTAAGGGGATATTTGCATTTGTTTGTAGTCTTCCTAAAAGTGTTTTGCCCCATTTTGTCAGCTGTTGTGTTCTTAGAATATGACTGATGAGTTCTCCCATGATGCTTAGCAAGCTGTCTGACTTAAGAAGTGACTTTTCAACCTACAGCCTCGGCTATAAAACTGGGGTGATGGGCTTGGTGACATATGTATGCATAGACACGGGAACGGTTTTCCAATTTTGCAGGCTGCAGATGGGATAAAGACAAAGGGGAGGCACTCTCTTTTTTTTGCCAATACAGGCACAGATGGACAGCTGTGATGCTCCTGTATCTCATGGGGAAACAGGGCTCATTGTTTTGGCAGCAGAGGGAACATTGCTTGCCAAACATTTGTTTTGTTTTTTTGTTATAAAGGACACCACCTCTTTAGACTGTAAAGCAGCTATCAGTTGATCAAATAAACTGTTTTTACTCTTTGCAGAGCTAGGCAGAGGTTTACTTTTGTACAATAGGTTGAGATTATCTATCCCTGTCTTAATCATTTCTAAAATAGGGGGGGTTTTTTGTACCAAGTTGCTGTGCTTTACAAACCTAAACATCCTAAAACTACAAGGATACAAAAATTTCAAAGCACTGCTTCTATGTTTTTGTATGTTTATTATTATATACTGTTTATATGTGTATGTATGTACGTACATACATACATACATACATACATACATACCTACATACATATTGCCACCACCTCTGAATTTACTGTAGCAAGGGATATTTTTATCAGTCTAAAATTGTCGTTCTATAAATATCTTGCTTTCAAAACAAATACAATCCTTTATTTTGCTTGGTATGCCACATGAAGTTTAGAACTGGAAAAAATTACAAATAAACCAATATCCAGTATGCAGCATTTTTAATGTTTTTCCAAAGGAAAGTAGTGCATCTAAAATGTGTTAGACAATGATTGTTGCCAACACCGTTTAAAATGCATTTGTCAACAACAGCAGCCACATTCTTGTACTCTCCTTGTAATATAAAGCAGAAAACGTGTTAAGGTGTAAAAGTTGACACACTTTACAATGCTAACTCAAAATGTATGAAGAATGTGTATGCAGTAAGGTTTCCCTTTAACCACTGATCTAAAATCTTCCTTAGATAAGTCTTGTGTTTAGAAAAAGATAATTGAATATCACTATCTATGATTGGCAATTAAAGGTTAAGCTCAGGTTTTCTAACCATAAGTTCTTTACAGTGACAAGACTGATGAAAGGACTAAGATCATGTCAAGGAGAGGCCCTGGGAGGCCTAAGAAAAGAAAGCATGGAAACAGTCCTTTGTTTCTCAAAGAAGAGAGGATGAAAAACAGCAGCAACAGAAGGTACAGAATAGCACAGAAGTGAATGGAGCAGTTACTGTTCTTAGTATAAATTGTTATAGTTACCACTTTTCCTGGATTCACTTACACAAGGGAAACCTTTCAAATAGTGAATTTTTTGACAGGAGAATAGATCTGTTAGTGTAAAGGATTAAGTTGCCTACACACAAAATCATGTGTTCTGGAAACAACTGTATGTCTGCATCTCCCCCTTTTTCCCCTGGCTGAGCCTGCATGGCTTTTTTACATTTGGTGTTGTTTAATAGACATATGGGGAGATAAGAGGATGGAGAAGGGAAGACGCCCACTATTGCAGTTAGCATGTCATTGTTTAGATGCAGAATTAACCATGGTGTGTAAAGTCTACCATCCAAGATTGTATAGCGAAAGAGGGCATAACATCTTGCTGACTGAGCTAAAGACGGTCTTGTTACTCACCTCAGTAGACCTCTACACCCTGTTCCTGTTAGGCAGGTTCACCCTCCTTGTTTTTTCCAGTGACCATTGTCACAGAGACTGAAAGAGGGGAAAATCCAATGTTTATTGTTGTCAAGGTGAAGGAGAGATTTCCTGCTACTTCCTGCTGTGTCTGCAGGATAGAAGTAAAGAGAAATCTCCCCAAAGGGGCACTGACAACAAAAAAATCTGATGGGTTTTAACCATTTCCCTGCTCCTATTTAAAACGAAAACAGTTTTGACTTCATATATATATTAATGCAATGTTCTTTTAATGCTGCCCTAGCCACAGGTTCATGTGTTCCTTGCGGTAAATATTGCCCTGGTTTGCACTCCACCCCAAAACTCAAATATTTTAGTAATTATTATCGGTAAAACAAATGATGAATGTAATAATTTGTCTGATGAATTGGTTTGTGTGAGTGATTGTTTTAATGATTTTTTTTACATGTTCTTTTACATACAGTTTTGATGATGCATATTCTTACTTTAGGTTTCTTCTTCCACTTCCTTTGTTTCTTCTTACATGCAGGTTAGAGAAACGTGTTTTGCTTTCGGAAAGCGTTAAGACTGGCAGCTTTTTCAGGAGGTCATTGCTGAATGTTTCGGAAGTTGATGAAATGGAAAATGGAACTGGGGATGTGAAAGGCAGGCTACATAGTCAGGAGGAGAACGACAGAACATCAGGTTACATATATGAGGTAAGTAAAGGCTTAATATTATAAACAGAATTTATGGTAATCAAAATGATCCTGAATTGGCTCTATTCTGTTCAAAGTAACTGAGATGCAACATAAGGTATTTGCAGGGTTTCTTTGGATAGGACTTGAAGTGTATACATTTCTTTAACAAAAAAATGAAGCATTAGGTTTAGATTAATTGGAACATAAAAGGCTGTTTTTAACAAGATAAGATTATATTAAACCCTTTTATTTCTTAAGCACTTTCAGCAGCTGATTTAAACCCTTACTTAGTATGCAGCTTCTTCAGCTTGTAATCTTCGCCTTTGCTCCAGTTTCAGCAGTGGAATGGTAGCTGCCTAACCTTTTCTGTTTTAGGGTGGCTTCTTTCTCTTGCAGGGGCCAAGGGAGCTACACAGCTCCATAGCCTAGGATGGCAAGACACCCTTCATCCTCCTCCCTCCTGTCTTGACAGTTGCTCAAGACTGTGCTGTCCCCTGTTAACTCTTCCTGGTGAAGTTAGTGCACGCGCTCCTAGATCAGATTTTCAGGGAAGCAGCACTGAGAGAGCAGGAGTCAGCAGCACTGAGAGAGCAGGAGTCAGCAGCACTGAATCTTCTAAAGGACAGGTGCTTGGGCAACAATTTTAACAACGCGTTTACTAGTGATTAGTTGGTAAAGTGTATTTCCACTTTTGCAGTCTAAATTGAAAAAACCTCACTATATATTGGTTATGTGTTCCTAGTCACACAGCATATCTAACAAGAATGAAAAAAGAATGTCTTGCCTTTTTAGATATCTTTTAGCAGGCCTTTGCATGCTCCTCTTTCAGTTTCATTAACCGCAAACTGTCTGTCCTGATAGCAAGACTTTGGACAGACTGAGCGTCTCTCTATTAACATACAAGGTCATCAGTCCTTACTGCTCATCTGGTTTACAAATGATAATAAAATCAGCCAGCACAGTACAGACTGAGTTAATTTTTTGAAACAAGATTCCACCTGACCCCAAACAAGAGTGAAAACTAAGCAGGATTTCTCAGTCCTGGAATTGGCGCAAAGAACATCTAAAAAAAATAAGCGGCAACTTTTATTTTTTAAGTTATACTATGTGATTGGGAACATGTAACAACAAATATAATTTAGGTCTTATTCCAATTTGGCTGCAAAAGTGAAAATACATTTTAAGCTAAAGAGTTTAATCCTATTCATGCTGTTTTTAAATATATGATGCTGTTAAATTTATAAATAACCACATTGCCCTTAGTTTCATTTATGTAACTTACCAGGATATCTTCATAGCAATTTGTATTCTCTCCAGAGTCACTGATAACTATTTGACTAGTGGAATGTAAATAACACCAAGTGCTGGAGTCAAACACACAACCATGTCCATAAATGTGGCCATAGCCTAAACTCAGGATATGGCATCAGACAATCAATCAGATTAGACCAGCAAGAAACCAAGTAAGCCTTTTACACGGGCACATTAGGTCAATCAGATCTTTGATATGGCACTGTTCATTTGGAACTTCCTCCTTGTTTCATAGCTAAGCCTTTTGTGGCCTTCTCCCCTTTTTAAATGCTTTTGGTAACTTTATATTCACAATTTCTATTCCTTTATCCTGGTCCACTTTATCCTTCTCCCCTTTCTCAGTGGTGTGTGCTATTCACTTATATGTTTATATTCTCCACCAGCCTGAGATTTCTCCTTTTACGGTTTCCTTGTGTTGCCAATATGTATCCCACCAGTTTAAAAATCGTATAAACTAAAAACATTTCACCTAAAGCCAATATAGTTCCCTTTTGAAGTTTGCCCTACTTCCCGGTATGACTTTTCTTTTCATTTTCTTTACCATACAGTTGTCAGTGCTGCCCAGTGCACAGTTGAGCAATTTGTGTAGAGCACGTACCTCCCAGATTAGATCACTTTGCTCCCCTGACTATATTTGTCAGCTCAAGGCTTTCACCCACCAGTCTGTTCTTCCTTCTTTCCCTGTTTCAGATTTATCTGTGTAGTTCAGTTACTCTCCCTGCTGTATGCTTATTTCCTTATTTCAGCGCTTGCTTCTCACCCCTCTTCTTTTGCAGTGTCTCTCTCTTTTGCAGTGGCTGACTTTCTCTGTAAGAAAAAAAGGAAAGGGCCAGTGTACAGTAAGTGCTGAAAGAGGGAGCCATCAGAAAATCCAGTAAGTTGAATATAAGAAGTCTGAAGCAATGGAGTTAGGCTTGCAGATAGTGGTGGTTGAAAGCACTGGAGATGGCAAACATTGACTATTCACCAAAACGGTTACCTTAAGGGGATGGCGCAGCACATGAGTACAACTACAGGCTTTCTTCTGGGGAAGCCAGCGAAATTAGCAAGAGAAACCAACTTGCTTCATTTGTGGCATAGCAGATTTAGCAGATTATTTTATAGGAATTGCTTTTTTTTTGCAGAGCTCATGTATTCCAAAACATTTTGTTGTGTACATTTAAATTTTCATTATGTCTTCATTAACCTGCAGTTTGTAACTTTTGTGATGGGCATGGACTGGTGTAAGTTGTGCCTAAAACAAAGTGCTGTTAGTAGTTATATATGTTTACTTAATCATATGAGCAGAAATGCTTGATTTTTATTTAGTTCCAAAATACTGAAGGATTCTACATATTTCCAGCATTCCAGATGCTTGTAGAGCATGCATATTTATCACTTATGTAATGTAATACTGCATTATGGGCTCTAGATGGAGCCGAGGAGGAGAGGAAATAAGTATTTATTGCCTCGGCTCCATCTAGAGCCCATAATGTGGCATTACATTATATTTGACCTGAAAAGAAAATCTGCTAAGAACGTTTGTTTTTGTGTCTATTTGCAGAGAACCATCGTTCACAGAGATTTCCAGCTCTGAATTGTTTAAAAATAGTTTATAAATAGTGTGTTGAAACTTTGAAGTGTTTTTTCTCTGCACTGTGGTCCACTCAGCGTCTAATACACTATCAAGCCTTAACTAGTTTTCTAAAGTAATACACAGCTATTAATTATAGTCATGCCCACTAGCATACCTATTATTATATTTGATACCCAGGGCAGATCATTTTGTAACACCTACCACCTCTGCATGACAATTTAAAAAACATTTTTTTATATAGTAATCCTAAAAGAAAAATTGAGGATGGCCAGACAGTGAAAAGTATAGTGTCCCCTTACGTTGGTGATCATTGGAGAAGTGTCCTCTTATATTGGTATCAACTCAGCTAAATTGAGCAATGGTGCCAGTGATTTTATTACCCAATAGAAGCGAGGCTCTGCTGCTGTCTCCATCTAAATGGCCTTCATGCAATACGCCTTTCTTATTGCTGGCACCAGTTGCACCGCTCCCACCACCCTTCTGTTAGCCAATAGTTGCACTGAAAAGGGAGTGTGTGCAGGTATATAATTGATACAATATGTATCTGGCATTTTTGTACAGAAGGGACAGCGAGGGATGGTTATGTAGCATACCATACATGAATTGGTTCTTTAAATAGTTCGATAATATCCAAACATATTTCTGCATATCAGTTTATTTTCACATTTAGCGCGGTCTCGTTATTCTTTCTTATGCCAGGCTCAAAGCATTTTTAAAAAGAGAAGGAAATCTAGCATCCTGGACCATTTAAATAACACGTTGGACACAACCCTGTCAATAACAAAACAAAACAAAGAAAAATCCTGTTTTAAGTTTACAGATCATAATGGAAGGAAGCAGAGAGATGCAAGACACTTAAAGAATATTTCGCCCTCAGACTTCAAGCAAATGTGCAGTATTCACCTTTCAAGGACGTTGTCAAAAGAAGGTATATTTAATTTCTTTATAAGCTGTAGAGAACCAAACTCTCTAAACTGTTGTATCCACAGGTGAGTTGGATCACCTGCTGGCTCTTTATAAAAAAGGTATCCGCTGTATCAATATATTTTGGTTTAATTATTAAACTGATTGATAGCATGAGCAAAAAATATTTTCACTGCCATTTAGAATATTTGGGGTTGTAGATGCTAATGGGCATAGTTTTAACAGACGAGTGCAAACTTTGAGAATGCCGACTAGCCGTAATAAATAGACTGTAACAGGTGAACACGAACACATAGGACAAACCTATCGGGGGTACATTTTAACATGCTATTATCCTGCACAGTCAGTATGGCAAGCTGTGACCACCATAGGAAGTCTTAGCTATTTTTTAACAAGATGAGCTTGTTTCGAGAATACTTGTATAAGCTTTGTCGTGTTGAAGGGCATTGCCTAAAGTATTCCAGGAAGCCTTAACACAACCTTCTGATGTTAGAAATTGTTGTAAACAAAGATATAATTTGCAGGGAGTTACACAAGCATAAATGTGTTAATGTAAAAAGGATATCAAATGCCCAATTATTATGATCTTAGCCATTTGCTGACCCGGGTATTTACACCCCCTTACTGTCCAGGCCATCTTTCAATATTTATTGCTGAGGCACATTTATTCAGTCATGCAATGCTGTACCGAAATTAATATTATACCATTTTTTAGGGACACATAGAGCTTTCTTATGGTGGAATTTAATCACCACTGGGGTTTTTATATTTTTTATTATATAATGAAAAAAGTACAGAAAGTTTTGAAAAAAACTGTTTTCTCTTCTTTGTGATGAAACATTTATATTTACCCAAATTTTTGGTAAAATATAAAGGATGGGATCACGTCGGGTAAATAGACACCAAACATGTCAAGCCCTAAAATTGCACTCATCCGCAAAATTGCAAAAAGCTAGCATACCTAAAATTGGCCATAGGTGACACTTTCAAAGGTTTTAAGGTGCCCATACACTGCTCGATTCTCGTACGAGAATCGGGCGAAATCCCGCGATCGTACGAGAATCGAGCAGTGTGAACTAAGACGTGCGACCGTTTCTATGTGAACTAAGACGTGCGACTGTTTCTACTGTACGGTCGCACGTCTTTTGTCGAGCCAACATGTTCGAAAACCCGCCGAGAATCGTACGATTCTCGGCGGGTTTCCAGCCTGCTCGCCCGATAGCTGCGGAACGGGCCGGTGTGCACACGCGCACACTGCCCGTTCTGCATTGCCGTCATCGGAAGCCCGCCCCTCAGCGGGGCGGGCTTTCGATGATCGCAAGTACGATCTGCCCGTCCAAGGTGAGCAGATCGTACGGGCTTTCAGGAAGCATACGACCATCGCAAGACAAAAGTCTTGCGATGGTCGTAAGGTGTATGGGCACCTTTACTGTTCATCAGTTTAGTGTTATAAGTGATTAATTACCCTTAAATTGTTGTGTCGTGATTTGTTTTCTCATTTTGTCTCTCATAGTTGAGGTCTACCTATGATGCCAATTACAGGCCTCTCTCATCTTTTTAAGTGGGAGAACTTGCACAATTGGTGGCTGACTAAATACTTTTTTGCCCAACTGTATGTGTATATAGATAGATAGATAGATGGATAGATATAATTATGTGACTTTTTTTTAAACTTTTTGTTTATTACTTTTTTTTAACATTTAACTTTATTGCCATCACATGGGGGACTAAGAATCCCCCTATGTGATGGACAATATACAATGAGAGGCCCTCTTTATGTAGACATTAGGGGTCTCTAAGACCCATAATGTCACCTGGGGACCCCAAAGAAGCTGATGAAGCACAGATCTGCTTCACCAGCTTCTTCTCTGGCTTTAGCAGCCAGAGAAACGACAGCTAAAGGCAGAAGTGATGTAATACACATCCACCTTCAAGCATCGGAGGAGATATCAGCAGTGGGGAGCCGCTGTGCCGGTCCTGTGCCCACAGGGGGGACAGCGGAGCCCGGGATAACCGTCATCAGCGGGGGAGCGAAGAGTGTGGCTGCACATTGCCATCATACAAGCGATCGGGCCGCTGTACAGCGGCCTGTACGTTTCTATGTCACAGCCGGTCGGGATTCTGCTCGCGCACACCCTCTAGAGCAGAAAAAAAAAATCAGGTACATACACGTCCGCCTGTGTATTTACAATGGGCGGATGCCAAGTAGTTAAACAAATTATTACAATTGGCAAATACATTCATGATTATGTGTAGCGCGTTCGTCGTTTTCATACGTAGGCGCACCCGACGCGTGTTTACGTGGCGACTCGCGGGGGCGGGGGACTTTAAAAAAAATGTTTATTATTATTATTAGATTGATTTTATTTAATTTTAATTGAAAGAGCTTTTTTTTTTTTTTTTAACTTTGACTGCTATCACATTGAGGGGCTTACAAGCCCCCCCCATGTGATAGCAGATGGTCGTGACAGGTACTCTTTAAGGTGATGCTGGGGGTCCAAAAGACCCCCAGTGTCACCTTTACACTGGAAATTAGCTATTGAAGTGCAGATCGCACTTCAAGTCGCCGGGAGTCTGTTTAAACAGCCCTGATGCTGGCGACGTACACGGTACGTCGTCAGTCACGAAGGGGTTAAACTACCAAATTCCAATATCATTTCATGCTGTGTATATTGAATTATATAGTTCTATCACATAATATAAATGTTGGTGGCTCTAGTGCTGTGTAGAATGTTATAAATGATCTTGAGTATTAGAAGATGAGGGTGAGTGTATTGTTATTCTATACTTTGATATCCATTCAAGTTAAAATAGCTATTTTATATGGAGATTGAACATAACTGGCATTTGTATGTACCTTGTCAACTGTAGAATGTACACTTTATAGTATGTAAAAAAAAAAACCTGAATGTTAAGCTTGTATTTTGGTCCATGCCTGTTTGTTACATTATATGGGTAGGCAGCATTATCACCAGCCTTTGTGGCTTATTGCAATCTAAAGCCTAAGAAAATGTGTCATTCACAATGCCATAACTTTACAAAAGAAAATGTTCCTTTTTTAAAAAAAAGTTCAATGTTATTATTACAGATACGGATACAGATGAGGATGAAAATTTTTTAAGGAATGAGTGGTCCTCCCAGTCCAGGCCACTGCAATATAGTATGTGCAGTATGCTGTCCCGAAAAATGAGGAATTTTGAACATTCACCATCTCCAGAACGGATCTCTTCATGCTATAGAACTGGCAAATATAAGTCAGTCAGCAGAAACAAGCAGTTTCGTTTGCTCTTAATGGATCGAGAGGCTGGGTTATCATTCAGTGATTCAACGGAGGACTCATTTGACCAAGGTTATTAGCTTCACAAAGCAAGCATTTTAACTCCTAGTGATACCAAGAAACTTCTGCTATCACAGTTGTCTTTGGATGGCTGTCTGTCTGTCGTGCTGCTTCAACTGCTTTACTTTATTTTTATTTTTAACCTTTTCCTATTTTGGCTCTTTGTGCGAGCTGTTAAGTCTTCCATCAGTCTGCCCTATTGCTTTTTTTTATGTTTTTAAATTCTTTTAATACTTGGCATGAAACATGCATCTGAAAATTTTATGTTTTGTACTAAAATAACACAAGTGTGATTTGTTGTATCATAAAGTTTTATTAAACATAACAAATTAAATTTTTTAAAAAAATGGTGTACTTTGTGTCTCCTGTGATGCATTCTAAATTGTTAATATAGGTCTGGCTTCTATTAATTCTGCTTCTCCGTATCTTGTACCCTTTGCATCACTCCAAGGATTACCATGTTGCTGATGAAGTCTTGCAGTGTTCATTGTTCAACTATCCCTCATTTAAGATAAATAAATGTGCTGTGTGTGTGTATTTGTGTGTCTATCTACCTGATATGTTTTTAATTATCTGTCTGTATATAGTGTGTTTGTCTCGCTCGCTCTCTCTTTTCCCGCTCGCTCTCTCTTTTCCCGCTCGCTCTCTCTTTTCCCGCTCGCTCTCTCTTTTCCCGCTCGCTCTCTCTTTTCCCGCTCGCTCTCTCTTTTCCCGCTCGCTCTCTCTTTTCCCGCTCGCTCTCTCTTTTCCCGCTCGCTCTCTCTTTTCCCGCTCGCTCTCTCTTTTCCCGCTCGCTCTCTCTTTTCCCGCTCGCTCTCTCTTTTCCCGCTCGCTCTCTCTTTTCCCGCTCGCTCTCTCTTTTCCCGCTCGCTCTCTCTTTTCCCGCTCGCTCTCTCTTTTCCCGCTCGCTCTCTCTCTCCTTTCGCATTTTCTATCTATTACACACATGCACACATTTTCTTTGTTAGTATTACTGAGGCTCTTTATATTTGTATTTGAGCCTTATGTTGATTATTTATAGAGAAAAGATAGCAAGTTTGGATAAAATGAACAATGTTTTAAATTATAGCTTATTCATTTTATTAAAATGAAATTAATATTCAAAAGTAAAATGTATAAGTTTTCGTTTTTTTTCTGAGGGATGTTGAGTAAAGGGCTTTGCAAGGACGTGCTGTAATACTAAAAATTGTGCAGTAATTAACCAAACTTTTCTAGAATGCTTGCTTTTTCCTTGCAGCTGCTTGAGCATTCCTTCACCCCCGACCCTTACCCATGATGCTTTGAATGTCTGTATCGGTTTCTTGCATTTGCTGTTACGCTGCTCTAAGGAAGCAAAGTGATTGGCTGGAATAGGGCAGACACACCGTACAGCGCGGGTCAGATTGCAAGCCATCAGAACCCTGTATGTAAAGTAGGTAACTTCTGAACATCAATCTTTTTATAAGTAAAATTTCCAGTCTGATCTCATGTTTCTTTAACGGAGCGATGTAGCCCTTGTATTTTAAGATTAATTCGCTTATGCTACCAAGCATTATAAAACACAGCAGAAAGCAGTATTCTGTTTGATGTTTACAAAAGAACATGCATCAAATAATAATGAAAAAAAGAGTGGAGAAAATATTAAAAATAAAAAAGTAAAGAAAACCGAAATAGAAAATCATCCAGTTTCGTTTTTACAACTATAGTTTTCCTTTGGAACTTTCTCAGTAAATGTCTTGCCTCAGGAGAAATTTATATTGTCCTGGATTTTAAAGGGGTTAATTATTGGATGGATTCATAAGCTTTACACAGATCACTGTTATGATTACAGTAGAACTGCACATAATGTGACAAGATGTGCTTATTTAGGCACTAAGTCTATGTTAAAAGGTTAGCAACATCAAGGATTTATTCCCAAATCTAAAAAGGAAAGGCGCTACAAGCAGTTTGTACTAGTTTAAGTAGGTTGTCGCCTTCTCTTTAAATAAATGCACTGTGCAAATTTTAAATGTTTTTATTTACTCCAATTAATTATTAGCACAGTCTTTGAATGCTTGAGCTTTGGTGTTGCTCTCTTAAAATAAAATGGATATGGGTACAGACTGTAATATCATGTTCAAGTTATACTTTGTTAATATAATTAAAGGCATTGCACCAACCGATATTTTTTTAACAAACGTGGCTGGAAGTTAACTAGCAATCTACCTTAATCTAAAACTACACATTTGCTTTTGAAATCTTACAATATTAGTTAAATTAGGTTTCCTATTTATAGGTACACTTCTTTTTTTTTTTTATTATTATTAATACGATGAAGGGTACGAATGCGAGACTGAAGAGACCCTTTAGCTGTCTAGGTCTGCCTTCATCTAGCCTGCTTTGTAAGCTATGCCTGACATTGTGACAGAATTTGTACTTACAAACTTCAATGGGTCTGTATCATGCTCATTGTCTGCATATTTTCTCTCCCCTTGCTAGAATGCTTCACAATCCATCCTGTGTGTCAATCTTTGGTAACTTAATAACATTTTAATAATTTCACCATTTAACATAAAGCATTTCACTGCTTGTTAAAATGCTGTTTACTGTGCTATTGTTATTCTTGGGAAAGCATGATCTAACTTTGTTTGTCTTTTTTCCCCTCTGCAAGCTCTCATCTGTTTGGATACCCTTAGTAATCCTGAAACAAAATATTAATTAATTACTTCCTCACATGTGGACATTTAAGTATACTGCTCTCTAGACAAAATTGTTGTGAGTTATTACTAATTGGGCTTCCATGTAAAAAAAATCTGGACTTTCCACGTTCAACAAAGGCAAGCCTGACGACATAAACACACACATTCATCTCAAAACAGATGAAAACCGATTTGAGTGTTGAAAGTGGAAATTCCTTTAAAATTATTGTGAAGTAAAACATGATGATATTGACTGGCTTGCAGCTTAATAGAATGTAAAATAGCTTGTCTACGTCAAACAGTAGATTATTAGCAATAGATGCATTATTCATGTTTGTTAGTCTCTGTTTTGTCCTACACACTTTTTTTTTTTTTTTAAATATGTGACTTAAGCTTTTGGGAAGTTTTTTTGTTTTTCTTTTTTTTTTCTTTTCTGAACTTTCTTTGCTTTTTTTTTTAATTTGGAATCTTTGCGTTTTATCTAAATCTACTATCTGAGATTTTATTACATATTGCTGTGTGTGTGTGTGTGTGTATATATGTAGATATATATAGATAGCTATAATATCTCTATCAATTACAGCTAAGGTTTGGTTGTGCTATCTCCCGGAGCACTTTGGGTTAGCTACAAAGACAGCACGGCAGTAGCAGCCTATAGCACAGCTGGCTTTGTCTAACTGAAGCTTCGGACTGTGCTGAGTTGATGGAATGAGACATTGAGTTCTTTTGTGTAACTTGCCGTTTCATCGACTGATCTTTGCAATAATAGGTTATTTACAGATTGCTAAGCTTATGGTGAGAATTCTTCAGTATTTTCAACATAACCAATAGTATTAACCATCAAGGGCTACTCAATGGCACCATGGGCATACTGCATTTGCAGATTCAGTTTTCAGCTAGACCGTGAAATAAGCCCTGGGTTTGTTTCGCTTTCTCCATGGTTTCCAATACCTAATCCTTTCCTCCTTAGTTCAAAATTAGTTGAAAAGGACAACAATATTACTACGTTGTGTTTCTGATTTCTAGATGGCAATTCTGTTTTGTTCAGGGCTCCACATAACCAGTTCTTACAGACACTGGCTTCTTAAGTCCCGAGCCCTAGAAGTGCTAAAATCTGGCAATTCTGAGTTTGTGTATGATCGGTGGAATTGTATAGCTTTGTACCCCAAAACACTGCACATTCTGGTGTACTAAAGGTGCCACGAGTTGTTAACAATACAGTTTTCCTTCAAACAGTATTGTATTGATGTTTTACATTCCATTCTAATGAAAAAGGCTTAGAATAAATTATTTTGCTTGGGCTGCTTTAGCGGTTTTCTCATGTCAGTGATTGATGTTGGCCAACTACCCCTGAAACTGATATTTCAGTTTTGGGTCTTTGGGTGGCCACTAGTGGATTGAAGCAAACTTTAGGTACCCCAAAGGCAAGATTTTTCCTGCAGTAGCTAGTGTCTTCTTTCCAAAAAGCAATTCTGAACATGTTGCTTACTGCTGGATATCCCAGTTATTTTAAATATTCTACAGTTAGGGCCAAACATATTAGCACCCCTGCATTTCTGTCAGATAACGCACCACTTTGCGCAGAAAATTGTTGGTTACAAATGTTTAGGCATTCTCATGTTTATTTCTTTTGTTTTTGTATTGGTATGACACAAAAAAGTGGAGGGAAAAACCCCCAAAAATGACGCATTCCACACAAAACCCCAAAAATGGACTGGACAAAATTATTGGCACCCTCAATATTTGGTAGCACAACCCTTGCATAAAAATAACTGAAATCAATAATTTCCTGTAACCATCAATGAGTTTCTTACACCTCTCTATGGGAATTGGGGACCACTCTTCTTTTGCCAACTGCTCCAGGTCTCTGATTGGAAGGGTTCTTTTTCCCAACTGCTGTTTTGAGATCTCTCCACAGGTGCCCTATGGGATTCAGATCTGGATTCCTTGCTGGCCAGTCCAGTACTCTCCAGCCCTTGTCTGAAACCATTTCTGGGTGCGTTTTGACGTATGCTTTGGGTTAGTGTCCTGCTGTAAGACCCATGACCTCTGACGGAGACCAACTTTTGGACACTGAGCCCTACATTGCACCCCAGAATTATTTGGTAGTCTTCAGATTTCATCATGCCATGCACACAGTCAGGTCACCCAGTGCCTGAAGCAGCAAAGCAACCCCAAAACATCAGTAAACTTCCACTGTAGGGATTGTATTTTTTTCTTTAAAGGCCTAATTTCCTTTTCTGAACAGGAGAATGATGGACTTGACCAAAAAGCTGTAATTTTGTTTCGTCTGTCCACAGCACATTTTCCCAAAAGGATTCTGGCTTCCTCAGGAAACTCCAATCTGGCTTTTTGATGTTTCTGTGTTAGCAGTGGGGTCCTCCTGGATCTCCTACCATAGCATCCCTTTTCATTCAGATGGTGACGTATAGTGCGAGCTGACACAGTTGTACCCTGTGCCTGAAGATCAACTTGAATTTGTCTGGAAGTTGATCGAGGGTCTTTATCCACCATTCCAACAATCCTTCGTTGCAATCTTTGATCAATTGTTCTCTTTTGTCCAAGTCCAGGGAGATTAGCTACAGTGCTATGGGCTGTAAACATCTTGACAATGTTGCGCACAGTGGACACAGGAACATTAAGATCTCTGGAGATGGACTTATAACCTTGAGATTTTCCACATTAACTTGGAATGCAATTATTTCTTGCAACTTTGAGAAGGTGCCAATAATTTTGTCCAGTCCATTTGTGTCAGATTTGGCTTTTTTTTTTGCTCAATTTTTTGGTGTCATACAATACAAACAAAAGAAATTAATGAGAATGCCTAAACATTTGTATTTGCAATAATTTTCTGCGTGAAGTAGTGCATTATCTGACAAACGCAGGGGTGCCAATATTTTTGGCCATGACTGTATATTAATAGATTATCTGTGGAGGTTAGCAGGCAAGACACCATCCTTTGGCTTAGTAATGGCCACAGCATTTAGGTAAAACTGCGAGTTATAATGGAGATACTTACCTTTTTAACCATGCAAAACTGAAATATCAGTTTTGGATGGTCGCATTTGAAGTAAAATTTGTCATTCTAATTCTTACAAATAATGCAGTATTGGAAACCCATGCTGTGCTACATGGGCTTGGTCAGTAAGTTTATTATATTAATTGGTATCTTTAAAGTCCAAAGACGCTATTGGGGTACAATGTTTAAAAGATGCCAGTTTCTAATGGTAGCTCTTTTCTTTTAATTGTTAGATTTCAGTTCAGAAGAGGAGGATGATGATTTCTTTGATTATGATGGAGAGCATTTGTCTAGTCCACACATGGAAGATAATGGACTGGGTCTTCTTGCGCGATTTGCTGCCAGTGTGGAGCCCAGCCCACTGCCACCGCTAGCAAATATTCAGTTGGAAGAGAAAGAAAACAATGACGAGGAGAAACAAAGTTTTATTGGTGAGTTGGATAAAAGTCTGCATCTAATATATACTCTAGTACGGCAGTGTGAACTTCCCACTGGTGTGCTAAATTGTGTATGTTGGTCACTGAGTCATGCCAAAGAGCATCTGGCTTGATGGAGATGCCTTAAATGGAATTCATGGTAGTGTTCAACAGCGACAATATGAGTTGGCTTCAGCTATCCTTATATGTGTGCTTATGTTGAAGTTGAGATACCTGCCAAATAAAAATACTTTGTGATATATTGTCAAAATGTATTCCATTTTGAATCCATACCACCATTGCTCTATGGTGGCATGGATTCAAAATGGAATAGATTTTGTCAATATATCACAAAGTATTTTTTTATTTATTCGGCTTGATGTTTATTCGACAGGTTGATGTTCATGTGAATAGCCAAAAGTTAACTTGCTAATCACATGCTGAATAGCAGCTTTGTTGAACGGAGCAACACCTGATATGCCAGTGGTGAACTCATTACATTTGATGAGCAGCTGGGATTAAACAACTGCAGCTTAACTGTGTGTGTCTGTGTGTGTGTGTGTGTGTCTGTGTGTGTGTGTGTGTGTGTGTGTGTACAGATTGATTTATGTTTTAAATGTTCAGATCAAAGTATATATCATTGTTCTAACAGACACTAAAATATTATATTTAACTTTGTGAGACATGAGTAATGAATTATGATAGCACAGTAACAGATTGTATAATATGCTCTGGATTGATGTAATTTTTAACTCACGAGTTTAGACATCTATTGCAATTTATCCTCAGACAATATGGCCGTGTTGTGGAATGTGAGGGAGATGTAGCACATTGGATTTAATTCCTAAAATTAAATAAACCCTTTCACTTAATGCAGTTTAATAGTTTTTGTACATAGTATACAGAATAAATAAATAGAACAGGGCTCAAAATTTGGGTCTCAAAGTAACGGTCTGCGGGCCAACTCTGGCACGCGAACCGGTACTATAAGGCCCGCAGCCAGCTGACAAGTCAGGCACACGGTTGCAGACCGCGTACTTGACTTGCGGGAGCAGCTACACGGTCTGCATCTGTGTCAGATGCAGACCGCAGAGCTTCTCCTGTCAGCTCTGGCTTCCTTCGGCCAGAGCTCTGACAGTTCTGAGCTTCGGCTGAAAAAGGATGCATTAGTGAGGTCTGCAGCAGACCTCACTAATCACCCAGTAGAGCACCAGGGATCGATCCTCCTCACAACCTCCTCCCTGTGGGGGGGCTTATAACAGGGGGAGTGTATTATTTTATGTGTGCGGGGAAATGTTTATTATATTTGTGCAGCGTGGGGGGGGAAATAATGTTGAGAAGTGTATTATTGTGTATGTGTCTATTAGGCCCCATTCACACCCATATTTCAGGTGTGATTAGGGATTCCTGTGTGAAAATCTGCGTTTTCCTGCAACTATCATAAGATAAGAATTATCATAAGATTATTTAAGAGGGCGTGTATAGGGGCGGAGTTAAGTGGGGCAACTAGTGGCGAGTAACTCTTAAGGCCTGGCTAGAACAGACCCAGTGGGTTTTGGTTTGGGAACATACAAATTTAGGAAAGGTGTAAAGCTTACTTTAAATGTTAACTAATATGGTCTAGTAGCTCCTGTATTATTCAAGGGGAGGGCAAAGCTAACCAAAGGAGACCTCTAGGTGGTTTTATTACCTGCTGGTCTTGGAGTGACTACATGAAATGGGTTACTCAAATTCAAAAGCAAAACTGATATTCGTGCAGCTTTTTAAACCGTCTTCTGTCAGTGCAGTGTCACCATGGTGTAACATAATGATGCATAATCTGTTATTGTTTCTACTTGATGTGTTTGATCATTTCAGTAGCTGCTATGCTTTTAATAATTTCACAATTTTTCTAAGTTCATATTTAAGATCCTTGTCTATCTTATATGTTACTGTTGCAGAACTACAGGATAAGATTCAAATGAAACTATTTACTACATATCTTTATTGGGTTACCTGCAAAACGATTTGTAACTCTACTAACAATATTGTAAACTAAACACTGCTCTCATGCTGTATAACCAGACAGTTGACATCCGAATCCTCCTTAGGTCCTTTGTGAGAAAACAAGTCCTCGGTGTTGTGGACTGGGTTCTCTATTATAGTCACACAAGGCTTTCTAGCTCAATTCACCCAATTCATGGCTGGCTCTGACAGCAGAGGCTTTACTTTTGCTCCCATGCCTTTCCCCACAGATTTTATGGCTGATCTGCCCACAGTCCTAGTTGCTTCTGAGCCATCAGCGGCAGTGATTATATCTGGCTGATTCTGAGTTGATGCAGTCTGGAGAATCAGTCCCCAAATGCTTACTAGAGTTGTTCCTGTTTTGGAAAAGATTTTGTTAAGCATTGGTCTTCCCCCACTGTGGGTCCGTCAGTTGCCCACTTTAACAGGGAGACTACTAAGCTGCTTGAGGGCATTCCTGCATTCACGATCCTTGTGAATCAGTGGTTCAGTGGTTTAAAACCCTCTTTAAAAAACTCTATCCTCACTAGCAGGCCCTGCCTTTTCCCATGGCAGAGTGGTCAAAACCCCTTTAACTACCTCCGGGCCGGCCATAGTAGAAAAACGGCCGGCCCGGAGCTCTCTAGATCTGAGCGGGCGTCTTTAGATGTCCGCTCAGACACGCCCCCG